ATAAGATCTAGGGAAGGTGGGGTGTGTAACAATATGGCATTCTCTGAAGGGGGTGAGAACGCCAGCGTGGAGTGTGGAGGGTTTTCATGAATACAGCTCAAGGCAGCACGCCACACTACATCTAAAAATTCTAACAGGGCTGATACGAGGATATACGAACCCAGAGCAGAAGGAGAGATACCACAACTATTTAGCACACATTTGGTCATAAGATCGGTTTCACTTGTCTGTTTGACGAGTTAAGTGTGGTACTAAAAATGTTAAGACTCACTGAAGATGCCGGCGATACGTCTGGGAATATACTATGTCCACGATCCGACATTGGACATTATCATGCATGCAATGGACTCCTGACTAGGTCTTCCTACCAATATGACCAAGTTGCGAAAATAAGGTCAAACAACCTGTATACAACGAAAGGAGACCGCCACCAGACAAAGGCCATGCCATCTTGGTCTTCATACCATCGAATGAAATATTTTATATTTAAAAAACTTGACGGAAACATTTTATAAAAAGATTAAACATCCTTAATAAGATTGTATTTCTAACAAGATATTATAAATCTACTAGATTCCCCGGTTTACTTATAACTACAAATAAGTACAATAATGGAGTATTGTTTGGAGCTTAGATCATTTTTAGTTGAACAGCGAAACAATGAATAGACTAGACAAAAATAAAAGAACGAAGATAAGAAAACCAGGATAGTTGAATGATATAATCGAACTCAAAAAAAGGATCAAGGAGAAAAAGCTTGACAAAATTAAACCATTGTTGAATATACGCGTTTGCTATACTTAATAATATAACAGGGGTCACTTGGTTGATAAATGGATTATTCCTGCTTACACTCCAGCAACATCAACAGGGCCAGTGCTGAATCGATCCAAACAGCGGGAAGACGTGGCTCTGCCAGCACCATTTGCAATTGGGGATTTGTTAAACTGGCCAGACGACAAATTAATCCCGGCCACTGCAGTTGTAACGACTACTGAGGAATCTTCGCTAGTAACAGCAAATTGTCGATGGCCGAGGGAGGCTGTAGAAGGGTTCAAACGATACTGCACGTGTTGGACAGATAGACAATCACCTGCCTGCAAAGTACCACTGGCACCTGTTGACTGGAGGATGGAAAAACACTATTATTAAAAATATGAAGAGCTACAGGATTAAGAGGGGCAAATTAAGCAACAAAAGTAATGTCAAGAAATCGAAATCGAAAATAAAAGAATAGAGGTAAAAGTAACTAGAAAGAAAATAGTAAGGTAGTAGTGAGTAGAGTAAAATAATTGACGAAATGAGAAAATGTTGAAGGCTAGGAGACAAAAATCGATCATTAAAGTGTATTAAACTGGTGTCTATTTTGAAAATCACTGTAGGAAAATTAGCCTTTTTGTACCATATGATGTATTCCTACCTTCTACTAATTTATTGATAATATATTTGATCAAATTTTCAAAGCAACCACAATTCTGAAAGTAGCATCAAGCTTTAAATTAAGTTCAAGAGATCCATTCAATAATTGTATTTTGAGGAACATTCCATGTAAACGATAAATTGGATTTGAAAAATAAATTGCTAACTCCCATCATCTGGCAGAAAATTTTAAAAATAACAAGAGCACAGCAAATGAGATCAAAATTGTTTTCTATTATACTCAGATTTGCTAATCATATGAGAAAAGGTAACTGTAAAAGCGATATGCCATTAATAAATCGCTAGCTGGTCACGAGGCCTATGATAAAATTTAGAATAATTTAGGTTACCCATAATAGCCCCATAGTCGGCCACATAGGGCCAAAAGCATCTCAGATCTCACTGAATATTGTTGCATCACTCAGCCCTCTCTATCTTAAATAATGTTTCCGGAATTGTTAAAAGGAATGAACATAGGTTCGATGGTAATATTTCTTAAACCATCCTGAATCAGCTCTTACTCCTGATAATTCTCATTTAAAGACATATTATTTTAAGATACATAGTAATTATTTTACCACTTTTGTAGTCACTCTCATAACGGAAATTCTTTTGAGTCAATTGCCTTTCTAGCGTTACCCAAAATCACGTAGGGAGCTTCACCAGCTTGCCTAGTAAACAAAATAGTGCTCCGGAGTTTACAGGATAAACTACAAAGGCTGTAAACAGAATAACATTGAAGAAATAGAAAGGATAATCAGCACGAGGGTCGAAAATCACCAGCAACTATGCGGAAAAAGGAACACAGAAAGATCGGAAATAGCTGAACACATTACCGTTACAATCC